GTTGCTCCAAGCATACCTTAAAAACAGATTTGCAATGTTTTCATGGAGAATTTTTTTCTGAAAATTATTAAATCGCGTTGTCATTGAACACGAATATATTTCGCGATCAATAATTTGTAATTGTTCGATCTATTTTGCGAGAATTTGATTAGCATTCGAAAAATTTGATATTCCAATCATACAAGATAGTATTTATGGAATTGTTCGAATTTTTCTCTTGTTCCGAACATTCTGAGCCCAGACCAACGCATCGAAAATACACTTACCAGGCGAACCACTATCTCCCACTTGTCCAGATGGTCCTTGTTGTCCAGGTTTTCCGTCGATACCTGGTGCTCCAATGAATCCATTTGGCCCGGCGGGTCCTTGAATACCCTGTGGTCCCATAGGGCCTGGTGGTCCAGGTGGACATTTAATGCAGGATCCTGGGGGAGACCGAGCGGTCTCAATAAGACCGGATTTCCCCACTAGTCCGGCTAATCCGTCGGCTCCGTTCGCGCCCGCTTCTCCTGGAGCTCCTTTTGGACCCGGTGCACCGACAGGACAGCGTCGTGAACGTTGCGCGCAATTGCACGCCTTCGCGTCACGTTTTTGACGAGCGAACAGCTGGTCGAAGTCACTTGACGGTGCTCTGTGGTTAACAACGGCGATGTCTTTCCACGCGTCGTTGGCGATCACCTTGAATTCGGCCATATCCAGCATAATGTCATCGTACATCGAGTTGATATCTTGGAAGAGCACACCGATCATCACCAACGATAGCGCTATCACCAGACCACTGCTAACTATCGCAGCACCCGCCAGTTGTGTGTCCATGCCACCCATTGTCCGAATTTAACGAATACCTGCAAGAGTAAGAGATTGTTTCGATGACTGATCGCAGCGCAAGAAATTGCAAAAATCTCGCTCACTCAACCGAACCAAAATTTCTGTCAATGTTAATCAATCAGCTAAAGAATCGTTGGTTGTTGCCCATCACCATTTTCGATGAAATGGAACGATACAATTGATTTGAAAAGGCGAAACCATCTGAAGTGAATTATGTCAATTTCGATTACGGTTAGAATCTGATCAACTCACCGAAGTTCACGAATACCACAGCTGGAACGGATTGAGACAATCGCACTGAACGTACAAAAATACTCAATGATCTCGGCAGCAAAACTGCCTTCCTTTTATACGAATTTTTGTTGTTGGTGATCTAAACGAAGAGATGGAGGCACTGAGTCAGTTATATTCCGAAAGATTTAATAATTATGCTGAATCGACTCTGGTAAATAGATCAACTGCTGTATAAAATCATAAACTACCATAAAATTATATCNCGTTGCATTAATCGCTGGTATTGTTTTAATTGAAATTTTCGATATTTCCATTGTTTTCACTTTCATGATCTTGACATTGTTTTCATGTCAACAAGTGAAAACTTGACATTGTTTGTTCATGTTAATGTAATGTGGACAAACACGTTTTTTTGTTTATTCAGAGATTGCTCTCATAGGAGATCGAATGAGTCTTTGGAGCATGTAAACACTCAGTGATTTGGAATGACGCATGAGTAATGAATAAATTCGAACAGATTGTAATGTCACTAACAACAGTAAATGTTCAGCTACAAAACGAACCGATTAGCTGAAAAAAAAACAACACAATTAGCATTAGTTGGGAAGAGCAACCCAGTTATCACAGATCTGAAAAGTCATCAAAATTCACCAAAAAATGAACATTATCACAAAAAACTGGGAAGTCGTAAATACGCGTTGCAAGCATTCACTTTTGATTCAATTGACGATTACGAATAAATTTTAGACAGCCATTTCTGAAAATATTTTTGAACATACGATTCTCCAGAAACAAATAAAACCGACAATAATCTTTCTTAGATGGGGCACAAACTTGGTTCATGTAATTTCCGTGCACTCATTCGACTTACAGTTTCTCACTCATGCAAAGTTGATTGCGGCATTCTTCTCAGTAGCATTCAGATATCTTCAACTACTGAACCCGACATTTAGATTGTCTCATTACTGCGCTAGTGATTGTTTCAGAAAGTTATTTTTGATCCTCAAGGTCTTCGAAGAAGCCGAGGGAAAATAATGCAATAACAGCTCACGATATAATATTTATGAACGATATGTTCATTCTGACATTAACGCTGAGCTAATCTGACACTCGCACTGTTTCCACTGCTTTCATGAAAAATTAATCCACCTACTTGCACCATATCAATTATTCGTAATTAGCAATGAAGATCAGTGACCTTATATGACTTTTATAAGTCTGACTGTCCTCAAATTCTGCTATGGGTCAATTTCTCATTCGTTTTTTTGCGCAATTTCACCAGATCAAAGTATTTATCATTAATATTATCTATGCAACACTGAAATTATCTCACAATCAGTAACATTTTGAGTTGTTGAAACGATCTGAAATCATATAAGACATTCGTAACTGAATGACAAAAAGCGTTGTGCTTTTGTAGACGATTTGACCAATTTAATCTATTTGATAGTGATAGTCAGTTCCATCATTACTAGAAGATATATGAAAACAAATTTCGGATTTTTTCGGCCAAGGTTTGGTGTATGGAAACTGAGATATTCATTGCGCGGGTTAGTGGGCTCTCTATTTTTCGAATGTTATCCCAATGAAGATTGCTTTTGAGCACTGAAATATTTGACGGACAGAATGCAACAATATTTGTGCACTATAAAATGTGAATTTGGGCATGTTATCGAATGAAAGTGAAACAGGACGAAAATGTATCAACTGAACGTTTATAATCTCCTTAAAAAAACACCATCAAAGCCATCTCTGAGACTGTTGAGTTCTTTATAGTGTAATGCTCAGTGTTATACCTTATACGCGATCGACACCGTTTCGATTTCATCTGAATGCGTTCAGTAAACTTTTTCTCTAAATTGTTCCAAATAAATTTCATTAGATATGCCATATTTTCCAAGTTTTAAATGTTTCAACGTGACCTTAATAACAAATTCAAGAAGCGTAGTGAAATTGTTGCGTAATGATCAACGCAATTGACCTCCAAGTTGTTGACAAGGGTTCTATCCCTCCCAAACGCAAAAACGTTTCCTTGAAACTATGTTCGATAGACCAGATAATCACCGGAGAATTTCCAGGCGTTCCTCATCTTCTCATGTGTTCAATGTTTCATTGCTTAGATTTCGAAATTCGTTTAGCGAAGCGAAATGTTGCCTCCTGAAAACAAACCCAGCAGTTGCGTTGTTGGGTATCGCATAACATAGTTCACCTCGAAAATACGCATTATTTTCTTGTGAAAGTATCATATTCGTGTCAGAGTGTTTGGGTGCATGACGTTGTGATTTATTGTATCATGACTCAGGTGTGTGATTAATCACTCGAACGGACAAATGATTACTTCAAAATTCTTCATTAACACATCATTATTGGCATTTGTTTGCCAAGAGCTATTCAGTATTTTGATGGTTTTCATGCAATTCATTTATCTAATACTGTTGTTTCAAACAGCTATTTATAATAACGGTGGAGTTCTTGCGGGAACACACGGATGGATTTAATATTATAGAAACTTTATGAGCAGGGCAGCTTATCCGTTGAGACTTCA